CATTAAACAGAGGTGGAGGCCTTCGTGTCCAGTTGTCCTCCTCCAACAACGCTGTTATTGCAAGTATGACTCCGCCCCCTGTGAGCAAAAGGTGTGAATCAATGATACCAACACAAAGAGGGAAAGAGAGACAAAAACAAGGGGACATTGAACCCTCGCTTGCATTCAATACATACACATAACACAACACAGGTCAGGTGATGGGGCACATGACCCTCTATGAACAATAGTTAATCAAGCCTATTGTTAGGTGATGGTCCTCTTTTGCATGTGACTAACCTGTTTGTCCATGTGGAGGCAGAGCTTATAAGGCTGAGTTCTCCTGAAACTCATCAGACTGAAGAAGTCTCTTGGAGGAGAGACGAAACGTTTCACTAAAGAAGAACCATCCAGAGGACCTACTGATTTTTTGTCTTTTTGATTTTTTTCTACCTGGATTACTGAGATGCATCAGGACAACAATGAAGATAATTTTCATCCTGAGTTATTATTTCCAAATTCTTCCTCTCAAAACCTTCAAAATAAGTAGTGTGTTGATATTTGGAGATTTATCACCTGGCAACTAGGTAGTTTTGTTTGTAAGAGCACCGGTTTGAAAACTCAGCTTTTAATGTAGTTTTTAAATTGAAGCAGAATAACATGATCAGATTAAGTGTTAATCTGCATGGTGTTCTGAGTATCAATGGGCATAACCCACCTGTCATTCAGATTACAAATTCATTTCCATCGAGCTGAATCAGATCAGAATATTCTGATTGGGGCATTTATTCCAGTGGCTTATGTCCATGTAAACACAGCTACTGGCTTAAATCTGAGGCTCACTTTGGGTTGAAGATGAGATTTTACCCAGAGTGGAAGAGTTCAAGCATCTTAGTATTTTCTTTAAGGGTGATAACAGGATCCAGGGACAGATGAACCAATAAACCAGGTCTTCACTCACAGTGTGAGGGTGTTGCCCCAGTGTGTCCTGGTGAAGGAGCTGATTCATTTATGTTCCAACTCTTACACAGATATGTATCTAGGAATCTGACTAAAACAGTATGAGTCTGGACAGAAGCAGCTGAAGTAAGCTTCCTCTGTAGCAGGGGTGTCCAATCCTGGTCCTGGAGGGACAGGTGTCACTGCTCCAATCAGGGGTTGGGCACCACTGGGACTCTATAAGTTTGTGTTATCACCCAACCCTAATATCTATTTGTGGATTTTGTGAAAGACACTTTCTGTTGACCTCAGACTCAGCATTGACCTTGTGTCTGAACTGTGGGACAATATCTGGGTTGTGTTTTTCTCCATGACACACAGAGCAGAGGAATCTGAATACCGTCTGTGGATAAGACAAAGGTCTGAGTCTATCATAGTCCTCTTGTCCTGCCGTATCCCAAAGGCCCAGGTTCACTGGCTTCCCATCCACCATTACATTGGCAGAGTAGTTGTCAAAGCTGTGGAGAGAGGACACATATCACCACTGAAACATAGAAGGACAGACAGTCGAGTTAAACTCAGTCCTTATTAAACTGCATCCTGCAGACCTTCAGTAGTTTGAACGATGTGTAAAAGAGCCCAGTCAGAAATCAGATTTTCTGAAATGTTGAAAACAGTAATGATTGTAATTTAAAGGGACAGCAGAACTGAAGTGAGACTTTGTGTAAAAATACTGAATAATTAAAACTGTAGCTACTTGTTGTAGACAGAAACAGATTTTAATTCTGACAGGACTGAAGAGCTAATGGCTAGTCAGGCCTTAGAAAGACCAAAGTGGGTTGTTGTGATCTTAAAACAAGTCCGGTCTCAAAAAGCTCTCAGTGATTCATGCCTACATTATTTTATAAACCTTTACACTTTGACATTCTGTGGTTGTTTATGAATAACACTAGCCTGGTCCTTGTCTTCCTACACAGCTCCACTCAGTTCTAGTTTCCCTTCACAGCTCCGTCTGGGACTTCTCCCACAGACAAGGATTTCTTCTGTAGAATTATACCTGGGCCAATCAGCAAACAGAAGGAGGAGTTTTGAAATACTACATAGATTTTCTGCGCAGTGTCTGTCTGTAGTTTAGCAATGGCAGCGGAGGACGCGAATGAAGCCAGTCCATGTTAAAGAGGCTTCCAACTTAAATTAAATTTGTCTCACAAAGCATACAGTACTTATTTACAGCCATCTTGTTTGGCTCGGTACTTCTATCCTTTCAGTAGGGTTGTTTACAGCGCACACACAATTTCCAGTTAGCTTCTTAGCTTAGCCTCCTACACAGACGTGCGTCACGGCCAAACATTAGCGACTGGGTAAATCAGATCCAGTCGTTTTAAACTTCAGCAGAGGCCACGCCTCCAGGAAGCAATAGCTTCTCAATAGTTGAGAGTCCAGACCCTCTGTACGAAGCAAAGTGAAGAACAAGGGTCTGGTTTTTACCAGGGTAGAATAACACATCACCCTTCTGAGGCATCCAGGGGTCACTTCTGTCAAGAATCCTTTAACTTTTCTGTCAACAATCAAAGCAGAACTGATACAGAGGATGAAATAATAGCATGCACATGAACTGCTGTCAAATTTTAAAGACTGAAACTGTTTTTATACCCCAGCAATCCACTTTGGGACAAGTCAATATTAGCTCATCAACATGATCAACATGGACTCATGTCCTTAAACCAGCTCTAGTCTTCAGCTCACAGGTTTGTCCAAACATCATTTCAGCCTCAACACCAAAGGTCGACCAGTAGCAGCTTTTCTGATGCAAATCAGGACATTTATGAAATTTTTATTATCAGTGTTCTTCACTGTGAAATTATAGTGTAAATTTAAACATACAAGACTCACGTAAAACAGATAACATCATAAAATACTGTTTAAAAACGTTACAAGGTTAAACTGGCTCTGAGGAACGCACAGTTTTTTGTTTGTTTTGTTTGGATGCACCTGTAGTGTCTTTTAGAGAGCAACGGGTCAAATAGATGAAACCCAGAGCGTGAGCAGTCCTTTCTGTGTAAATATCTACGGGCTGTGACAGAGTGGTTAGGGTAGTCGTACTGGAATCTAGTGTTGCACTACTTGAAACTGGTATTGGTCTTAAGACCGGTCTCAAGACCAGTTTTTGATGGTCTTGGTCTGGTCTCGGTCTCAGACATTGAGGACTCTGAATTTTGTTTCAAGACCACAACTGTGGAAATTTCACTAAATAGCCATATTATCCAATTTATTTGATAACAATCTTGCTTTCAGTGTATTTAAAATGTAGCTACTGATTTAAATCCAAACCTGACTCATTGCTATTTATGTGTTTTTGTTACCGGCTGTCACCCATCCCCAGCCCCCGTCACTCGCATGCAGCACTCCCAGAAAGTGAACAGTGGTTCTCTGGGAGCGGTAAAGGATGTCTTCAAAATTTTAAATAAAAAGATTTGGCTACATTTTTCATAAATCATATCATTGTAAAACAACAACAACCAGGAGAAAGCGTACAGCAACTTGTAAATTCAGCAGTGCTTCACTTTCAGAGACAGTGGGGACAACGTAAAACTTTTATCGTCACTAACATTAACAATCTGCCTCTGTAGCAAAACTCTTTCCTCTGCCCTCACACAAAGATTTTATCAATATTAGCTCTACATATTAAGTTAGCTAAAGTGGGGGGAAATGTATTTAGTCAGCACCAACTGTTCAAGTTCTCCCACTTAAAAAGATGAAAGAGGCCTGTGATTGACATCATAGTTAGACCTCAACTATGAAAGACTAAATACCCCCCACTGTACATGTGTACACAATACTCCATCTTTTAGGACATGTTTTTTTATCTGGTCTTGGTCTTGTCTTGGTCTCGCCCTCCCTTGGTCTTGGTCTCGACTTGGTCCAAACCCTAAAAGTCTTGGTTTTGTCTCAGTCTTGTCTCGGTCTCGCCCTCCCTTGGTCTTGGTCTCGACTTGGTCCAAACCCTAAAAAGTCTTGGGTCTTGGTCTTGTCTCGGTCTCGAGACTCTCTGGTCTTGGTCTTGACTTGGTCTCGGGTTAGGTGGTATTGACTACAACACTACTGAAACCAGTAGGTTGCTGGTTCAGTCCCCCGTTCCAGCTGTCTCAGTTGTTGTGTCCTTGGGCAAGACAACCCCCCCACAATGCCTCTGATGTGTCCCATCAGTGTATGAATGTGATAGATAGTACATGTTAGCTTTGCAGAGAGCTAACAGAGTGCTGTGTGAATGGATAAATGAGGACACAGACTGTAGTGTGAAGAGCTTTGAGTGTCCTCTATCCTGCTTAGATCAAAAGGTGTTATACAAGTACAGTCCATTTACCATATCCTGATATCACTGAGAGGAGGGGGCAACTGTTCATTTCCTGGGCTATCACCTCCAGGAGAGATTTGCAGAGATGAGGAGACACTAAGGAAGATTCCCACACAGCAGATAGGTGTGGGTCAGATCTGGAGTCAAGCTGGTTGTTTGTCAACTGAAGGGCCAGATCTGGCAATGATAGTGCAGTTTTTAAGATGGCACTTGTAGTTTATGTGGTGCTGGCTCATGTATGGTCATGGTCTGGCAAAGCACATCTGGGCCACCAAAGGGCTGTCATTCTTTGTGATGTCTGGGCCAAGTGTTAGTGCCTTGTGTGGGCCAGAACTGGTCCAGACAAATGTTGCTATGTGGGTATGGACCCACTCCATGTGATGTAGATCATGATGTAGACGGGGTTCAGGTCTGTTTTGTGTTTCCTGAAGTCCAAGATTCTTGTTTTTGTGGTGTTCAGCTGTAAATTATTCAATGAACACTTGGACGTTAACTTCAGAACCTCCTCTCAGTACGCTGCCTTATCTTGCTTCAAACTGGTCCAACCACTGTAGTCTTGTCAACAAATTTGACAATTGTGTTGTTTTAAGGGCCAGAACAGGAGGGGACTCAGCCCTGAGGGGAACCAGAGTTCAGAGTACAGGTGGAGGTGAGGTGTGGCCCATAATGTGAGAAGGGAGAACCTCAAACTGCTGAGTTGGATCAGGAAGTGAAGGATGATGGTGTTGAATGTTGAGCTGTGATCCACAAACAGAATCCTCTCATGACTCAGCAGAGTGGAGAGATACCATATCTTCTGTGGATCTGTCCACCAGATAAATAAAGTGCTGAGGACTGAAGGTAAAGAGGAGATACAGTATCTTTGATGTGCTGAAGAACATATCCCTCAAAACACTTCATATGTGTGATGTCAGCAGGGTGATATTCATTAAGGCTCAATGTGAAGATGACTATGATTGAGGCAGACTTTCATCAGGGGGAGTAACTGCTTGACCTCACCCCTCATAATTTACTGCTGCAGATGAACCTCCAATATTCTCTTATAGTCCACCTTGGCTTTTTGAGTTCCTTTCATCAGGTCGGCCTGAGCAGCACTAAAATCAGTCGCCCGACATGAAGCAGTGTGGAGTAGGGGTGTAAGAAAATATCGATACACTGAAATATCGCGATATTTCATTTCCCCGATACTGTATCGATATTCTAAAGCCCTGTATCGATTTTTTATTAAGGTTTYAAATGTCAACTTTCCTGCCAGCCGTTCATTTTTATGTTGTAGTTCAGTCTCTGACCACTAGTTGGCAGCAGTGAGTCAGCCATTCGGCTCCTCTACCTCTTGAGCTCCAGAGAGTAAGAGAGCATTAGCATTGTAAGTAAACATTAGCTTCATGCTCCGTTAGCTGAATCTGAGCGGAAAAGACCGACACCCTCTGCCTTAAAGCTGAGGTAAGGTTACAAACAGTTACTTATTTGTCAGAATGTCTGGATTTTAAGACAAATTAAAGCTGCTGTATGTAGTTTCTTGGGA